GAGTCTGACGTTAGAACTTCATCGGGAAAGACATTCTATCACTTATTTAGTCTCTGTCAGCCAGTCAGCCTTTAGGTGGTCATCCAGTTGGTCGATCGCTTGATCAGTCTGAGTCAGGCAGTCAGTCAGCCTTTGGGGGTCAGCCAGTCGGTTGATCGTCCGGTCGGTCGGTAGGAAAGTCAGTCAGCCAGTCAGTCAGTCAGCCTTTAGGGGTCAGCTAATTAGTCGATCGCTCAACCGATAGGGAAGTAAGTCAATGAGGTAGTCAGTCTAGCTGAACCTTTCATCTAAACATTTATTTTTGTGGACAGCGTCAAAAGGGCCGGAAGATAGCAGTGAATGGACATTTATTTCATTAAATCAACCCTGTTTAAAAGAAAGATCGAGTTCCGCTGATTGCGTAAACCCGTGGTTCGGTTTAGACATCGTATAAATAACCGGCCCTCAGTTTTTTACAGTGCTCGCTAACCGACATGGCACGACGGTTTCTGTAAATATTGCTTATTTTGAGTCAGCTCGTCCGTCCACCAGACATTCAGTCCATGGGTCACACAGACGGTTGTTCAATGAACCAGTACAAGCTCAGCACGGACGTCTCGACAAGCATTGACAGTTTGTTAGTTACTTAATTTGGACTTACATGCACAAGAGTCTTAGTCAACTGTTTTTTCGTTCCGGCTTTAGCGCGTTATCACTTTACATAGAAAGGTCGTCATCTTATGTCACTGTGAAGTTGTCGTTTCAAAAGAGAATCAACAGGTCGATTGATTCGTGTTTACTCTTTTTCTTTTAACTGATCTTAATGCTGTGGTCATGCTATAACTTAATACCGTACTTTCTCGAATAAGCTCCTCCCTAGAGTAGATGGCCGCATTTGGGACAGAAAAGTTAATAGGTACCGCCTCCGAACAAGCGCTACCGTCCCGGTTGCGGCGCTTACTGATTCGAAGAATTCTTTCACAAGCTGCAATACTGTACGCAGTTGGATATCTTGGGTGTCCTCAATACAAAACCTGTCGAATGTACAGATTGAGAAGTAGAAGAGGTGTACTCTCCCGCGCTAGAGCTCAGAGACTCAGATCAAGAAGGGCCAGCTACATCTAAAATGATCGAGGACACTACGCGCACGGTGGCGGGAGAGACAAACGGTGATAACTAAAAGATACCTCTGTTAGTAACTGAAAAATTTTGGAACATGAGATATTTCATAAAATTTTTGCACAGATGAAAAATTTACCGTGAAATTGAAAGATGACATTACTTCGTCGCGTACAAGTTTTGAAGGCTCCCCCTTAAATGAGCACAGCCTTCGAATGAGCGCTGTATTTGAAGCGGGAAACATTAAATAAGCGCCGCGTTGCTCATTCGAGTAAATACGGTATGCGAGTAAACCGGTAAAATATCCATTCGTCTGCGTGTCAGTCAAATTCAAGCACGGTTAGTCACGGCCCAACAAAATAACTTGTATTAAGAAGTCAGTCAGTTCATTAGTACATGATGGTTTTTATTTACAACTATATACAATTTTTCGGACTACTGCCAATATTTTCTGAGGTAGCTAAATGCAAAAAAAAAAGTTTGGAGAAGTCAAGTTCTTGTCTAAGTCGTCAGAGCAAGTGGAGTGAGAACATTGGTGACAAGAGACTTATTAGTGCTACTGAGTTATCTTCAACATCAATTGCCTCACCGCAGAGCTTTCGGCGCAACCAAAAATCGTGTTGCATATTTCAACGTAAGAACACAGTTTTTGACAGAAAATTTTACAATACCGTTTTTCAGTCTATGTCTTACTTATAGGTCTTAGTCATATTCACATGAGGTGTACACTGTTGGTCCGTCACTGCGTCTTTGGTAGCAATCCGTGTGCGAACGTTGTGAGTAGGGTAGTTAAATGCTTTTGGCAGCGAACGTGTTAATCAGTCAGCGAGATATCATGCGTCATCAGTTTAGTAAGCCAGGCTGTCTGTCCGCTTATCAATCAGAGAGTCAGTCTGTCAGCTAATCAGTTAATTTATCGGTCAGAAAGTCAATCTTTCAGTTAATCGGTTAGTCTATCAGTCAGAGAGTCAGTCTGTCAGCTAATCAGTTAGTCTATCAGTCAGAGAGTCAGACTGTCAGCGGATAAGTCAGTGTATTATTCAGACATTCAGTTTGTCAGCTACTCAGTTAGTCTGTCAGTCAGAGAGTCAGTCTGTCAGCGGATAAGTCACTTTATTATTCAGACAGTCAGTCTATCAACTATCAGTCAGAGAGTCAGCCTGTCGGCGCATAAGTCAGTTTATTATTCAGACAGTCAGCCTGTCACCTAATCAGTTAGTCTATCAGTCAGACAGTCAGTCTGTCGGCTAATAAGTCAGTTTATTACTTAGACAGTCAGTCAGTGAGCCTATCATTCAGACAGTCAGTCTGTCAGCTAATAAGTCAGAGTTTATTAATCAGACAGTCTGTGTATCAGCTAATCAGCTAGTCTATCAGTCAGACACTCAATCTGTTAGGCTGTTAGCTAATAAGTTAGTCTATCAGTCAGTCTGTTAGTCTGTCAGCTAATCAGTCAGTCTATCAGCCAGAAAGTCAGTCTGACAGTCTGTCAGCTTATAAGTCTCTCATTCAGACGGTCAGTCTGTCAGCGGATAAGTCAGTTCATTATTCAGACAGTCAATCTGTCAGCTAATCAGTCAGTCTATCAGTCAGACAGTCAATCTGTCAGTCTATCAACTAATCAGTCAGTCTATCAGTCAGACAGTCAGTCTGTCAGCCGATAAGAAAATGTATTATTTAGATAGTCAATCTTTCAGTTAGTCTATGCTTCCAACAGACAGTTGATCAGTCCATCGTTCACCACATCATAAATGCTAATCAGTGTGATTAGCCCTATAAGTAGGAAAGTTGAATACATCTGACAGTTAACGTGACAATTAGCGAGTTACTTGTTGGGCATAAGTTTTTCAGTCTGTCTGTTAGTCAATCAGTCAGTCTATTGGCCGGCGGTCAGTCAATCGACATGCTGGCCAGAGTCAGTCTGTCAGTCAGTCAGTCAGTCAGTCAGTCAGTCAGTCAGTCAGACAGTCAGACAGTCAGACAGTCTGTCAGTCGGTCAGGTGGTCAGTTGGTCATTCAGCCAGGTAGTCAGTTGGTCAGGCAGTCGGTCAGTCAGTCGGTCAGTTGATCAATTAGTCTGTGTCCACATAACTGGTTCCAATCCAGATGCTCGCCTAGCGACTAGGATAATGTGAGACATCTGGTAGCCAACATGTCAATTCGTCAACGCGTTTTCCGCATGGCGTCAGTTTAGTTGGCCAGTAAGTCATTCTCTCAGTCATTCAAAAAGTCAGTCAGTCAGTCAGTCAGCCTTACAATCAATCTGCAACTCAGACAGTCAGACGGCCAGTTAGCCAGCAATTAAGCAAGTCAGTCAGTTCCTTAACGTACCATTAATACTAAATCATGTGATAACCTTGTGATTTTTGTAGTTTAAGGCACCTGGAAGTTAATATTTAACCCAGTCAGTGAATCATATGTTAGGCACAAGTTAAGTAAGCCAGTCAGTCTGTTAGTCAGCCTGTAAGTATGTCTGTCAATTCACCGTTGTGTGGGTCAATTCGTTTGTCAGTTGCTCGGTTAGTCATTCTGTAAGATATGGGCCATCAGCCATTGTCTATTGATCAGCGAGTCATTCAGCCGGTTGGACAGTCGGGCAGTCAGTCGGTCAGTAACTAAATAGTTAGGTTAGTGAACATTCAGTCTTGAGTTGGTATCTGAGTCACTAAGTGTGAAAATCACGAGGTTCCTAATGACATTAATCACTAATTAGTCGTGTATAAGTTGATCAGTCACTCAGTCTGTCGAGCTTTCTAACAGCCAGTAATCTTCAGTCTGTCATTCAGTTGTTAAGAGAATTAGTCAATCATTCAGTCATTCGTCAGTCGGTCAGTCGATCAGCTATTGTCAAGTTGAACATTCAGCATTCAGTCTCGCCGTCAGTTAGTAAAGAGGGTAGCAAAGGCAGAGGGGGGGAGGGGGGTCTAATTTTGGCCTTACTCGCGCTTCACGTATAAACCATTTGCCCCCCTCCGTCAGGCAGTTGTCTTTTAGTCTCTCAGTCAGTAGGCCATTTGGTCACCTAGTTAAAGAAGAGTTAGTCCTGATTCAGTTTTTTCATTCAGTTAGCCTGTCAGTCAGTTTGAAAATCATGGAGTGAATACAGACATTTAAATCATTCGTCAGTGAGTCAGTCGTCTGTCACTCAGTCATTTGCTTAATCAGGCAGTCATAGAGTCAGTTATTAAGTCACTCGGTCATTCAGTTGCGCTGCTAGCCTGTTAGTCAGCCAATCAGTAGATCGTTAGTCATTCCGAAAATTCTTACTGTAATGAGCGATCAATGCGATAACAGCAACGATCTTAGGTGTTAATTTCATTCCGATTGTAAACTTCTCCTATTCTGACAAGTTTATCTCTATAATTTGTCAAGTTAGTTCGTTTGCCATCTAACGGAATACCTCCGTGTTCGGTGTAATTTTATCGGTTTCGAGGTTTATCTTTTTCGTCTGCATCATCCTAGCTGGCAGTAGGTCTTGTAACGTGTTTGTTATTTGCTTTGAAATTAAGATAAATCTTGATTTTACCTTTATTATTATCATCACGAATGTCATCAGGTAATCTACCTGTTGTTGTGAAAGTGATACTGTTGTCAGTATGTTAAGCGTCTCTGTGGCTTCTCTCAGTCCTTTTTTAGCTTGTCAAAACCTTGTCTTTGTCAGTCGTTAACACGGCATACTGTCATTGTTTTTGCACCATCACAGTTTACAAACCTTTTCCTTGGGTTTTGACGCGAATTTTGACTTGATTTTGGACTTGAGTCTTGAGTCTTTTGACTTGACTTTTCGTCGGAATTTTAAACTTAACCCGTTTTCATCCAAGAGGAGGGGAAGTATTTGCTGCATTTTCCGTAAGACTGCCACGGCGATTGGAGTTGAACTCGTAATGCAGACATAATTTGTCTTCTGGGTAGTTGATAATTAATTGACTGAACTCCATAAAATCTTCTGTCGCTAAACTAGGTTCTCAGATCAACCATTGTTGTCTTCACATGTCTTTGACATGGCGTCGGAGAATGGATTATCACTTACGTGACCAACAAGTGTTCTTCATGCGACAAGGCATGATGAAGTCATAGCATCCCGTCGATTTTCGGCTGCATCACTTGACTAGAACAATGTGCAGTCATTAACTCAGCGTTTTCATAAAAAAAAAAAATGTTAAAATATTCATACTCAGGAGTACTCTTCCATCGAATATCCGAACATCTCAAAATCATGCCTGTACTTGTTATACAATTTGCCTTTAGTCTGCTTCGGCAGCGACTTGAAATATTCCTTTGCTAGACCTTTTGTGGGTAACTTGTATCTAGAAGTCTTATTGTGTGGAAATTGTACTTTATCATTCGCCTGGAGAATGTTCAATAGCTGGTCAGCTTCAGTATATAAATTTTCAAACTTTCCTATAAAATCGTAGTAAATTAAACACGGATGGCACAGCATGTCGTACAGTTTCCAGTGCCAATCCATAAACTCGGGCTCAGAATTATTAATAAATTCAACAAATTCTGCAAAGCTCACACCTTCTCCCGTCTTGAGAGACCTGATATCGGGATTATGCCGATATTTTCGTATGATATGCCTGCCATACATCTCTTTAAATAGCGTCAAATTGTAAGAGTCTATGAACTTGTTTCTGTATGCTGAAACAAGACGCTCAAATGGGTGTCGAACGAACAGAAACTTGTAGTAAGTGCTGAGTCTGTGAACAATCTCCTCCGCAGAGTATTGGTTCAAATATCGAAAAAATCCTAAGCTGCGATTATGCACGTCCGCGGTCTTAATACTCCATGGGTCAGCGGCGTCACCATTCATAACCATGAGCACTCGTTTCCAGTTGGAGCAAGCCACTTTCGGAATGTAACAATAGAGTAGTTTGTGATAATCATCCACAATGATGTTTCTGAAATAGTACGCGGGGATTTCGTTGCTTGAATGTGGAGGGAGAAGTTCTTTTGGGTCTCGCTTGTGACAGTAGTCAATGAGGTGCTTCTTCCGCAACTCTTGGGTCTCGTCAGTTGTCTGAAAGAAAAATGGCCTTTGTACTTGCCTTTGGAGTATTTAAAACCGAGTTAGGAGAGAGTTCTATCTTTTTAAACTCTAACCTCCACAATATCGAGTCTATGCCATGGCTAAGGTATTTCTTGTTAGTGTTTTTCTGCTAGGAGCTTTACTCAAACATTGCTATTAAGAAATTTGACTGCGAAAACAAACTATACTAACAGTACGATAAGTACTAGTAGATAATGCAAATTTAATGTTGAAAAAATGACGGACGACAAATAACGGGCAGCCAGCGACAAGCGCGAGAAAATTAAACACGTGTGATTATGTTGCAGTTGATGAAATGTACTCCTACATCTGGCTGGTTGACTTTGTGATGAGAAGTAGGCCGGCCAGATTTTCTGAGCCAATCAGAAACCTTCTTAAGGCTACGGTACGTTTACCTGTAATTTTCAAATATTTGTAAGTAGACATAGAATTGGTAAAAAGAGAGTTTTATCAATGTACACTGCTGAAAAAAGAATTAAAAGAAGAAACAGAAGGTTTTTTCTTCTTTAAAGAAAGAATTACGTAAATCGTAAAGGGAAAGGAGGATTACGTCATTATTTTACAGCCTGTGGCAACCTTGGAAAATTTAAACTAAAAAATCTTCATAAGAAAGATTTGTTTCTAATATACAACTTGGAGTGGACAAAATCAGGAGTGGATGCAATATGTGTCAAAGGATAATGCAACTGTTGACGTGACTTAGAACCAGCAAAGCGATTCACTTCCGACAAAACAAGGTTTAATCTCCTGGAACAGGATTTAAGTGTTAGACTTCTCAGATGTCAAGTTTCATTACAAAGGGCGCTACCAGTGCCTCGTTCTGATATAAGAGTCCGGAAATCTATCTAAAATATTAAGAATTATGGGCCTGGAGAAAGAACGAAACAAACCTTCCAAGTATTTTCTCGAAAACTGTATACATCGTGACGTCTGAAGTTGTTATTTTCTGCAAAATAAATGTTTTTTTTCTTAAATCAACTTCTGTAGAGAACCAAGGATTATTTGAGCCGAAAGAAAAATAAACTGATCGAGGAAATCTGAATAGTAGATGAAGAAAAATTTTGACAGATGTTTATTATGATTGTCGACACGTTTACCTGCGAAGTTATCTTCGTTTTGACTACGAAACGCTTCCCAAACCAGTAAACCAAACAGGCCTAACAGTGATCCCAGACGAAACAAAAACAGTCTCACCATGGGGGAATTAACGGTGCCCAAAGAACAGACGGCTTTAAAACCATGGACTCCGAGCACTGTATCGAGCTTCTCAGTAGAAATCCAAGCGTGTAGAATGCTTACTCGGTGTCTTGCGCAAGCAATGACCCTTTGTGGCAACTTTAAAGAGCTGGATCAAGAACATTACAAGAGATTTGTGGTATGAAGATATTTTACGCCATGGTAACCAAGCGTAAAGCAAACATGATCCAGTTGTGCTTCTCCGCTGAAGCAGATGATTTTGAAAGAAGGAAAACGTTTTCTTCCAGTCACAGTGTTTGGGTAAACAGAGCGTTAGGGCGCCACCTGTTGTCGAGTGATGCGACCTGATGAACCGAACAGGATGTTTAATAGACCTGTAAACAGAGATAATGCGCGTTTTTTTCCTGACAAATAATTCTTCCGTGTTGTAATCATGACCCTGTAGACAGGAAGAAAGGCAACTGTTGAACAGAACGCTTACTACGGTCAATTTCTTTAAGAAAGTCCTCTCCAAAACGCGACCACCCATACCGACTTCACTGCATGTGTGTCGCTAAAACACGCACCGTGTCTTTTATCGATATAACTTAGACCAAAAACAGACTTTATTGAGACGCAAAAAGATCAAACACGTCGGTGACGAGAGTTTGTAGAAATATACGCTTGGAGCTCCGCTACGTGACGTAATCCCCGTATGATTAATATTTGACAGCAGTAAGTTAATACTGTTTCGAAATCGATTATGGTGTATTAATGATCGAAGGAACAGCGTCAAGAAATTTTGGTTAATATTCGGTATAAAGGCTTTGAAATTGAACTTATTTCCTGAAAAAACGTTCTGTCGTGATGCATTCTGTCCAACGTCGTAAGTTTTGTGGTAGCCCGTTTGTTAAAAAAAATACCTGTAACAATGTTGACGTTCGTTTCAGTACCATGGAAACCAATAAGAATGACCCTTTACTCCTGATTCTGTAACAGTAAAACAAGTTCAGCGTAAAAAGTAATCTGGAATACATGCACCTTAGTGCTAACCGATTCTCAGTTGTGACGGAAACTGCAATTCAAATATGTCTCTCATCTATACGAGTTTTTGGAGCTTTCAGTTTATCTACCGAGGAGGAAAATTTCCAACTACCTTTATCCGTACTAACTTGGGCTTTTGTTTGGAGGTGAGAGTCTTGATATTAGCTCCTCCTATAAAATACTTTATGGTTTTCACAAAATAATGATTATCGTCCTCTAGCGCAATTTCTGCAACTGCCATTGAAAAATTTCTATCGGTCGATAGGTTTGCGCAGAGGAAAATTCGGTAACAACCGATATAACATTTTTTTTACTCTCAAATCTGGAGCATGCGCATACCGTTGTACCTTGCCTTTTTTGGTCAGGGGGAGGGGTATTTCAGATGATTTAGTTTGTATTTTGATTGAAATTCTCGTCAATGGTCATGGCTTTTGCGACATTTCGTGGCCCCTATGAGAGCGGTTTTTTTAATGGTAAGTTCCATCAGGACGCACTTATCGAGATAATATGTAAACAGGACTTTCTTTGAGAACAGCTCCGGTCTGTATGCCTGAACGCATTTGCAAACTAGAAGTGCCACAAAATAGTAGAGTTCCCGTTAAGCTTGATAACAGGGCACCCTCTCATTAATTTAAGTGTCCCAACGACTACTATCGTTGGATAGAGCAGAATACTTTGACACCATGCAGTCACAAAGTTTAAACGGAATTATGAAGCCGATTCAACCCTGCCAAAATAAGGCCAGTCGGTAGCTTGGAGAACGTTTTTGCCGACGCAGCAAACAGCGATCAAGGGCAGATTCAGGAAATCTTTCACAGGAAAGAGTGCAACTTTAATTAAGAAAATCAGGATCTTTTTTCACACTACAGCCTAAGAAATATTACAAGACAATATAGCTTTATATACTTCATATTGAGTAATTGAGTATAGCGACAAGCGAGCCGGCTGTAGTCGCAAGAGTTTTGGTGTAGGACAAGTAGTACAAAGAACCCTCAGTTCTGATGGGAGGGTTTCTGACCGTTCCCTTATTTTACTTCGATTGTTCTTTCTTTCCTTCTTTCTTTCTTCCTCTGTTCCTCTCTTTCTCTCTTCCACTCTTTCTTTCTCTCTTTCTTTCTTTCTTTCTTTCTTTTTTTCATTCATTCATTTATTTATTCATTCGTTCATCTCAATACTGCATCTCTGTGTTGGCGAGATAACTAGAGGGTCCGTGAAAGGAACATAAATGAATGTTACGTCACACATTTCTTTGATCTTTACCCTCACAAATATCAATTTAAAAACAAGAAGCTTTTTGCACGTAACCTATGTTATGAATACACGATTCAGCAGCCTGTGACTGCTTCTGCCATCTTTGTAGTTTCAACGATGGAAGAGGTGGTACCTGGTAGTTTGTAGCAATGTTTTCTCTTGAGATTTGATCAAACGAAAAGAGGAAATTTCTTCGTTAAACGTGCCCTACTTAAAAAAATATCAGGTTTATGGTATTCAAATATTACGTTTTGTGGAATTAGAGAGGAATTTCAATTTTTTTTGGTATGAAGAATTTTTAACCACAAATAGCCCCTTAATGTATAGACGGAATCTTCCCGAAAGTTCGATCACTTAGGGCCTCCCAAACAATTCTTAGTATTGCGCACCTATTACAAAATAAGCTTGTGAAATTAAATTGTTAACCATCCGACCAATACCTAAATTATCAATTAAATCCTGTATTCTTTCTTTCATTCCCCCTGAAACGAAAATATAAAAAAGAAATTTACTTTAAAGAATGCCAAAGAAGGTGTTTAAACTCAGCTGGTTCTACGTGCAGAGAATCTTTTAGCAAACTTCTATAAAAAAAGGAAATTCCTCTGCTTCATACAAAATAAGCAAGGTTCACCTTTAAAAATGTAAGCTGGTATGTCAGTGATTTCCTTTCTCCCTCCATTCTGCTCTTACATGTTTCATGCAGGATGAAACTCAACTGAAACACGATATGGTGCTTGCAGACAGTTTAAATGAGAAATTATAGTTGATAAAAAAAAAATGAAATAAAACGACTTGCTTATGAAACTGAGGTGCAATAACTTACGTAGAGATTTTTAGCCAAAAGGAATCGAAAGAGAATGCAGAAGAATTTTCCATCGCATCAGCACCTCAAAGAGACATATAACAAAAGTCGAAAAAGGGAAGACGCCTTCACTCTGTCCCCTCCCCCCCTCTCCTTCTAAATCCGCTTTTAGAATGAATTTTAAAGGAGATCGGAACGTATTCTATTTTTGTTTCTGTGAGAGGTTCATCCGAGAGTCGTAGTTGTAGTAGTTCGCTCAAATTAACTTTCCATTTCCTATTTAATCCGATATGATGCTTTAGATCAATATAGAAATATTTCACAAGTTATTGCAAAAGTCATAAAGGTGTCATAATATTGCATGGATACGATCCTTGGATATTTTCATCCTTTGAGCAACTTGTCATGATTCAAAAATGCAAACAGTTATGAAGGAATGCCACCAAAATGTATTCAAAATATCGTTGTAAAATATAAGGTCTGAATTAGTGTTGGCAATTTCTCTTATAGATATCCTTCTTTCCTCTCAGTTTTTACTTTGGTCAAGCAACGTCTTCACCAAGTAAACACTAGGATTACAAGACAAAAAACGACAACTATGCCGTAACTTCTTCTGATCCAAAAATACGGCCGAAAACAATATAAAAAGCTATATAACGATAATCTGTCATATTCCAGAGTACATTTTGGGTTTCGTTCATTCTTTAAATTTGAAACGAAATAGACAATTTTATTCCTTTTGATCATTCTTCTTTCTGAGTTATTTTTGTAAGAGGTTTTCTTCAGCTAGCTATCTGAAGGGAAAAGCGGATTAAACTACAATTTGATAAGAAAAAGTAGCGCTTGCTTAATAGAATAATTGTGTCAAAAAATATAGATTCAAAGGTTCTTTAATATTTCAATCAGCCACAATTATATTTTTGTCATCTTACTTCAAGGTTCTGGAATGATTCTAGGCATATAAAAATAATTGTTGAACATTAATTTATTTATTTATTTGCGACTGTAAAGATCCATCAGCTTTAAATCTGGGCAGTTTTCGTTTGATTATTGGTTCGTTTGATTATCGGTCGAGAATATTCGTTTGAGTGTAACTTGAATTTTTCACACGGAAGGAACAGGAAGAAAAACGTTATAAAAAAAACTTAACCTGTCGAGAACTGGCTAGTGCTAAGACATACGACACGATTAATTACTAAAAAACGTGAGCTAGTTGCATTTTCATGATCGTATTTCTAATGTCTTCGTGGTATTGCATCGTTGCCGAAAATACATGTTATAACAAGCATCCAGATATACAAACTGACGATAAAGAGCTAGCTCCGTCACTTAACAGAGACCTCTTAAAGTCAATGACTGTCCTTAACCCCGCGTCAGAATGTCATGCTACACGTTGCAGTGTCAGCATGCAACAGGAATATTGTGAAGTATCCGCTAAGAATGATAAACTCAACGGTGCAAGTGTGGTAAACTCTCTAACTGAACTTTGTGGTCAACAGTATATCTTTGGTTGAGCATAACAAGGCTAAGAAACAAGTTGTCTCTAGCGTTGCTTAAAAATCGTTGAACATATTACGGCCAAGCACAACAAAGATGAATAAGATATCCTTGAGAAGCTTGTTATCAGAAGGAAGTGGATAAGATTAATCAAGTAGGAAACGCTAGCAATGATATTGCAAGCTTGTGGTAATGTTATATATAACCCACCAATGGCTCAGCAAGTGCAGCGAAACCCGACCCATCCATGGACAGATGAAGAATTGCACGACAAAGTCTCTCCTTGCCTACTCCTCTCCTTGCACCTCTAAATGACTATATCAATCTGTGTAACACTGGCAAACAACTTCAACCAACTTCCAATATATTTGACAAGTTTCCAGATCTGATAATTCAGGGCAGAAACACGACTCAAATGAATTATAACCTCGGCCTTAAATTTATGCAAATCCTAATTCTTTTTGTTTTTTTTTTCTGGTTTGTTTCCGCTGAAATGTCTTGCAGTTGTTCAAAGACGTGCGTAGTAAAGAAGATGACGAAAAGCTGCATGAAGGCTTGCAACGATTATTTCAGTCGCAAGTGATGAGAGACTAACCCATTACAAATCATCTCCTAGGTCAGGTTGCAATATAACCATTACAATAGGGAAACAAATAAAAGATTAAAAGGAGGAAAAAACAACAAATAACAGAAAAAAAAAGATAAAAAAGGAACATACTCAAACATGTAAGCTGAACTGAAGGTTTTAAAGTCTTAACCGTTGTTATGACATCTTAAAATTGCAACACAAAGAAGGTCAAGAATTTTCTTCAGGGGCGAGTGAAATGGCAGAAAATAAAGACAAATAGAGATCTGAACGCATAAACTTTGTACATACAAGGAAACCTATCACTAGGAATATATTAGTGAAGAAAAACTTAGAAGAAAAAAGGAATTTGACGCCATACTTCTACAAAAACGTGAAGTATTAAACAAATTCTGCTATCAAGATTTATTGTGGTTTTCCGGCATTATAATACCATTCATAATTGTTTTGATGATATTTTAAGATAAATATAAAATAGCGCTCTGCTGAAAGATCTAGGGGAGAAAAGAAGTTGCTCTTGGCCTTTAATTCTGGCGATTAAGGTACGTATTGATTTATTAAGCTGCAAGGATAAAAACACGGAGTTTGACAAACAAGTTGATATTAGAAATGGCGGTACGACTTTACCATTCAC